CTCATTAAATTCCAGTGAAATATATTTATGTTTGTGGTTGTAATGTGACAAAATATGGAAAAGTTCAAGGGGTATGAATACTTTTGCAAACCACTGTAAAAGGCTCTATGAATGGATCCGGATATTAAGGAGCCATTTGTTTCACACATTCAAAGGAGCAGTTTGATTTTGAATGAATTACATCATCATGTTTCCCCCAGAGCTCCGCCTGTTTTCTGTGAACAAGTGAAGGAAGAGCGATTGTTTCTGTGGTTGATGAGGAAAATATAAAGATATTACAAGGAATTAAAAAATTGTAGTTTTAAGGAGTCGTTCAAATGATTTGGAACGTTTGCGAACGTCAAATCTCGATTTGTAAAAGAATAAACATTAAAACATTACCAGAATCTTCAAAATGTTAACTCCACTATGTCTTAACGCGCTAATAAAAATATAGCTAAACATATAAAAGAAATTAGAGGTAGCTAACACTAACGACTTATTGCTAACCGCAAAGACGACTGTGACAGTCTTTGTCACACGTCTGCATCTCCTTCTATCTGAAGACTGGTGAGACTGACACAAACCTGCTGATGTTAGTTTGTTAGCGGACTTAAAGTTGGCAAAACCTAATTTAGCGGAAGTTAACTGGTCCGCTAACAGGTTTACAAAGTTAGTGAAAAAGCTAATCTGCTAAATGAAAAATGAGTTCCGCTATTAGCTGTTAGTTAATTAGTGGAACCAAGCCCACCACGTTTGGTAGTGCCAGAGATGTGCAATCTATCTCCCAACCCGCTCTCCCTGGCCTCCTCTCTCTGCTCCTCTGCTCTGCAGTCACTGTTATCTTCGCCCCACGTTCTCTTTCCCACGTGGCCGACAGTCCACTTGTCTCGGCCCTTGAGGACCAGGATTGCCCATAGGTAGAGCAGATAAGGTAAGGTTCTGTGACTTTGGAGCCACATGTGGCTCTTCAGACCCTCATCAATGGCTCTTTGTAACTTTGTAACTAAAATGAATACGGACAGAGTAAATCTTAACAAGATAAGGCACAGTGCCTTGTGAAAATATTCGGCCCTCTTGAACTGTTCAACCTTTTTGTCACATTTCAGGCTTCAAACATAAAGATATAAAATTTTAATTTATTCGCGAAGAATCAACAAGTGGGACACAATTGTGAAGTGGAACGAAATTTACTGGATATTTCAAAAAAATTCTAACAAATAAAAGACTGAAAATTTGAGCGTGCGATATCACTCGGTCCCGTTGCATTAATAATAATAATAATAATAAATTTTATTTGTAACGCACCTTATATTTCAAAGAAATCTCAAAGTGCTACAGAGCCAGGAAACAACACAAAAATATTCAAAAATATTGACTTCAAAAAAAATTCAATAAAAACATGACAGTATAGTAATACATCTTGCACCAAACGGTATCAAAAGAAGCATTAACACTAACAATTTAAAACAAAACTTACAGTTCTAAAAGGGCTGTTTAAAAAGGTGAGTCTTAAGACCTTTTTTAAAGGCCTCCACACCTTGTGGGGCTCTCAGGGACTCTGGAAGGGCATTCCAGAGCCGTGGAGCTACTGCCTGAAAAGCCCTATCCCCCATAGTGGCAAGTTTGGTCTTAGGTTGATGCAGGCAGTAGAAGGAGGTGGAGGAACGAAGCCTTCGAGAGGTGGCATGCGATGAGAGAAGTTCACTGAGATAGGCAGCAGCAGTTCCATGGATGCATTGATAAGTGAGCAGACAGAGTTTGTAATGTATTCTATGTTTGATTGGTAGCCAATGAAGTGAATTAAGAACAGGAGTGATATGATCGTATTTGCACCTCCTCATCAGGACCCGGGCAGCACAGTTCTGAATGTGCTGCAGCTTTTGCAGATTTTTACCAGAGGTTCCAAAGAGGAGGGCATTGCAGTAGTCCAACCTTGATGAGATAAAGGCATGGATCAACCTCTCGGCATCCGGTTGGGAAAGAGAGGGGCGGAGTCTGGCGATGTTTTTGAGATGAAGGAAAGAGACTTTAGAAAGATGACGGATGTGGGAGTTGAAAGTGAGGTTAGAGTCAATCCTAACTCCAAGGTTTGTAACAGTGGTAGAAAAGGGAATGTTAAAACCAAATATTGAAATACTACTGAGAGTAGAGGACTGAGTCTGATGGGGGGTGCCAAGAAGGATGACATCCGTTTTATTACTGTTAAGTTGAAGAGAGTTTGCAGTCATCCATGCCTTTATCTCCTCTAAGCAAAGCTGAAGGGAAGACGGAAGAACTGTAGGAGAATATTTTGGGTTTGACAAATGTTTGTGACAAGTGAAGGTACAATAGTGAAGAAAGACACCTTGCTTT